GGCTGCCCCCGGTACCGGCCCGCTGCCTCTGTCTGCAACATCGGGGCTGCCCCACGGCCGGACCCGGTTGCCCCCACCGGCCCCGACGCCTCCTCCCTTTGCCTGGTGCTGCTGGGCATCAGGGGTGGAAAAGACAGTTTTAGCTTGCTCAGGGAGACAGATTATTATTATTTTTTTAATTTATTTTCTCCTGGGTGTATAGGAGATAATTCATGCTGGACGTTTTCCGTGCTTATTTTTAATTAATACCTCCCTTCCAGATAGATAAGAATAGGAGAATTAACCCATAAAATCCAAGCATCTGTATAAATAGTCTATTTTCATAAGTAAACTGTGACACTTGCTACTGTGGAAATTCAGCATTATTTCATCTTCTATAATTTGGGGGAGGGGGGGGGTTCTTAATACAAACTAGATGCAACGTGGAAGCTGTGCCCACAGTTTCATCTTGTGAATTGCAGATCCAAGTGCCACAGTCAGGAAAACAGAGCTGGCGTTCCTCAGACCTTGAAAAAAATTTGGTAGCCCTTGGAAAGGTGCGAAGAGCTCCATGCCATTAAAATATGAAGTAACTCTCTGTTAAACTTCTTTTGTCAAAGTGAGTTGTCCCTGTGGGGTTGGAGAGACTCAGTGGGCCAGCAGGCAGAGAGGAGGCATGGGTTGCTTTTCTTACTCAGCTTCACGCTTGTTGGAGCCACCAAACTTTCCTGACTCTCTCAACACATAACCCACCGCTGACTTCTTTTATGCGGTGTTAAACACTTTGGGTGTACCCAGCTGGGGGGATCCGAGCGTTTTTCCCCAGCCCCTCGGCCTGTCTGTGTGTTGGAGCCGTGTCCTGACAACATCTTGGTGTGAGACCTGGCTGCGTGCTGGCTATCACGTTGCACCCTCCGGTTGGGAAGAAGCCGCGGTGTGGCCATCCGGCAGCCATCCTGCTGTGGGTGCCCAGGGGACCTGCACGGCAGCCCGTGTCCTGCAGCACCCACCTCACAGGTTCCAGATGCAGTCCTTGGCAGCGGTAAATCACCACTGAGCTGTAAGGAGAAAACAAGCTGCGGCCACCGTTTCTTGTTGC